AGAGTTTATATTTTGCATATGTTTAAGCAGCCTCTAGAAAGCTGTCTCACCATCAACACATTGTTTTTTTAGTTAAGTTGATGGAAAAGTAAAGCATTCATACTTTACATCGTGGATTGACTATTAATCTCTGACCCACATCATGCTGATTACATATGGCCTTTTGCTTAGTTTGTGCTTAATTCGTATTTTAGATCGCAAAAGTCCTCGTGGTACTGTTCTTACCTAGTGAATCGGTGCGTCTCTCGTGTGAGCGACATTTGTAGGGCATTTCAATATTCTTTACACAACTTCGCATTAAAAACAATTTACGAAGACTGATCGGAAAAAAGGCTTCTTTAAACATAGTTTATTTCTACTTTTATATTTCAGAATGATTGATGATGTCCTAATTGTGCTAAAGACCAGTGCTTCTATGTGAGACTGTTTATGCTGAAGTTATTTCTGACTTATTTCCTGTTCATCATAATTTAATTTAGAAGTGTGTTGACCTCGTTGTCGCAACTTGGTCTTGTTGTCAGGGCGACTTAGTATAACTCACCTAGTCCAAAGTCGTCTGCCATAGGAGTTGTCATGATTCCCAGCATCAGACGGTGGACTACGACCTTATTAGAAGCCACAACATCTTGGTCTTCATATCTATAATTTAATTGGTATAATAATTAGTTACTAAAGACTAAAGAGATCTTCTACTTTTATATATTGTCGAGTTACTTTGAATTCTATTTGACAACGTGGGTTTGTTTTAAAGAAGTCCTCGAAGATGTGAGTACTAAGTACTCTGTTGTAGTAATATGTATTACATAGTAATAGTAATATATAATTTATGGCATCGTAACATGGTTTAACCTCGCTTTTGCAACTTTGCCGTATTTTCAGGGAGACCTGGTTGGCGCACCTTCTCCACAGTCCTCTGCCATATTATCCATGATAATCTCTTACATTCTATATCATCTTGGTCTTCACAACGTTTTGACTTGATAATTTTTCATGTTTTGTCGTCACCGCTAATAAGGACCACTAAAGTGACAACTGAGGGGCTGGTGCACAGTTATCACTAACGAGACAGACTACGACGCCGGCTAAACATCTTAAAATTTATAAGTCAACGATCCGATACTGTGAATGAATATGACTTTTATTATAGAAGAATGTGTACGTTCTTCGAGGTTTCTCCGGCATGATCAAGTTGCCAAACCGAGTCGAAACAAAGTTTATTCGACGAAAGGAAACTATAATCAAATCTAGGGTCACACCATCTTGTTCTCTACTTATCTTCTATTGTCTGTACTAGAGACAAGTTGCTTGATTTTTACGTAATTTATGTTTTTGATTGGCATAGGGCATGCTCAATTTAAGAAGCTCATTTCTGGGAGATGAAGACCAAGATAGTATGCCCTCTTGCTTGATCGCAGTCCACTTGAGCTGCATAGTATTGGCTTTACTTCGTTTTTGCAACTTGTTCGGTACGACAGGAAAACCTTGTGGAACGTACCTCTGCCTTAGTACTCATGATTTCCATCATCTAACCGTTAATTTTGTACAGTCTCAGACGCTTCACTGGCATCATCAATGAGAGGCGCCATCATTAGCACAGAGTCAAACTTAGCAGTGACATCTGAGCTTGACTAATCTAGTCACCTATGGGCTATTAATGCTTGATTTATTTTATTGTCTTTTTCTGCTTTTTTATGATAGCTCATCCCTCTGAGCTTTATGAAACAACCTTTTTTTAAATAATTATCTGCAAGCTTGGCCCTATGATTTAACATAAGCTAAACACAGAAACACAAAATGCTATATAGACAGGATTTGTAATGAGGAATTCTCTTTAAACGAGTATTGACGTCTTTAGACACTTTTGCATTAGTTTGAGTTTTTTAGTATGAGAATATCGTATAATCAAAATCTAGAAAATTGTTTCCTAATCTCTACTCCTACCGTCATAGTATCAGCGATTCCAACCCTATTTTTGCAACCACAATCAATATACCATTTTTACTCAGACAATTGCCTTTCATATATAGGGAGCGAAACTTGGTTGGTAGAATGCCCTAGTTATTTGTTCACTTGATTGTTACTTTCGAAGGAAAAGCTAGAACAACTTCGTTAATTGGTCTCCCCGGAAACCGAAGGAGTGAATATTTTTGGATTGTTTTAAAAATCCTTCGGCTTACCTTCTTTTAGCTCCGATAAAACAATGCTAGGTTTTTGTCTGTCATGTCGTCATAGCCAGAAACCATCATTTATTTAAAAACGCATCCAATAAAAATAGATACAAAATAAAGGTGGCCCCGTGAAATGATAGTTAATTCTTTTATCTTGTTTTGCTATACCTATGTAACATCTCATGGTTTGGTTGCCTATTTCATTTCTAGCATGCATTCTTGTAGATGGGGTAGGTTGACGCATGACGAGGAAGTTGATTTAGTGGCAGCTATCTCCTTGTCTAAATAATCCTGCAATTTTTATATACGTGGTATTGCTTATCATGTTTATGCAATGTCCAAGAATTACTATCATTTGGCAAAAATTAACGACAATTATCTAATTTAACTAGACTGCCGTTTTAAGCTTAAGTGTCATTATTTATATTGTTTACCTCGTCGGAATTTAACTAGATTTAGTTGCTCTGTCTTGCATGTTAAGCGTGGGCCACATAATTCCTTGTTTGAGACCATCTAATTGACAACTAAATATTATGATCATGCTGCCAGAAACCTGGTGATTTTTTTATCTTATTTAATTTATCTGGGCACATATATAAACATTCACAATCGTTCAGGTTTATCTCTTATTTTTATAATATTGGCAATCGTCTGAAATTTATGTCAAAATATACTATTAAGGTATAATTACTTCCATTATTTTCATAGTTAGATAACAGAAGTTCCAAAGGAATTCTATACCCACTATTGATTTTGAAACTTTTCATCTCTTGGGTTGGTTTGCCTTCTTTTATGCAACTATGCTGGCTTTTTACACAGATTTTGAAGAATCCTCCTTGTACTCCCTTTGCCTACTACTTTCTACTACTTTGTTTTAAAGCCTTCTCCCAGCATAGGATCTTTTATTAAGTACATTATGAAAACTTTTACCGGCATTATAGTTAGCATCCTTAATTAACAGTGTCATCCTAAACAGTGAGATAAATTTCGTCATTGAGAAACAAAATCGATTCTCTTTATCAACTTCATACTTCCCAATCTTATGTAAAAAGACCAAGATAGTGTTGCCCTAGGTTTGGTCCTAGTTTCATTTTACTTCATTCTTGCAGCTCCTTCGGCAAAATATTTCGACCGTATAGAATATACCCAGTTATCCATCCTCTGTCATAGAATTCACGATAATTTCCGGCATCGAAGTGTACCATTTAAACAGCTCGATGCTGGAAATGTGCCAAGTCATGATCATTGAAATTATTGAGACTACTTTTGCACAGGACGCAGGAATGGGCACGCTCTCTAAGGTCCGTATTTCGCGAAAACAGGGTCAAACCATCGCTTTCAGTTTAATAGTTGTGGAATTTCTCCTCCTCCCTTGGTACATTTACTATACTATAGGTTGCCTTTCCGATACCATTCAAGTATGCATCCGAAGTTAAGTTATCTTAATCATCGATCTATTTTCACCTCTGCCTTTTGATCTTGTTATCCTTATTTTTTATATTTTTCAAGGTCGCTTTTATTCCTTTGCTTGCTTATTCAATTTGTTTTTTTACTTTCAATTTGGAAATCTAATGATAAAACGTATCAAGGCAACTAGTCAAAATCTTGAAGATCAAGAGGATTTTGACTCGGATGACAATTTGCCACTGGATCCTGGTCCTATGATTTTAACCGATCTACAGCGGAGCCTTCTTGATCAATTGATATGCTTCGTTATAACTGGTTATTCGCATCCGACATTTAATACCGAACCACTAAAAGCCTCCTACCTAGCCACAGAAACAAATACTAGTCAACATGACCAAAATTCCACGCACTCGGTGAGTCTATCTTTGTATGTATTTGTTTATCTCCAAACCAACATTTTAATCTATTGACTTATTGTTTTTTCCTTTTTAATGAATTTAACGCAGCTCTTAAAGCTGTCTTTCCATCCAATCATACAAATCAACCTTGTTCATAGCAAAAGTTATTGCAGAGCATCCGTTTTTAGGTACCATTGCTTCTTTGGATCCAGGCTGTCAGGAATTCCCGTCTTATAATTTTTATGAAAATACTTTGTCTCACCTTTATCACTTGATTTTTTGCCCTTAAACTTTCGGAAATTAATTATTTCAAATTTATGATGACATCATTCTAATTTTGGACTTTTAACTAAGGGACCAGAAATTATGTTACTTACTATGAGCCTATGAATTTAATCATTCATTCTCTATACCAATATTCACTAGTACTCATCTACCAGCCCGTTAATTTGTAATTATTGTTTTAATGTACCTATTTAACATCAATTTCAAGAATTATCACTCTTTATTGTATGGGCTCTTTGTTAAACATTCACTGATCGCAAAAATAGAAAATAAATCCCAAATTACATGTAAAAAGTAGGTTAAAGACAAGATAAATGCAAGTGTTGACATCGTTTTCGCAACTTGATTGTATTACCATATCTTTTTGTCGTCTGCCATAGTATCCATAAAACTTTACAACTTCGGACCATGAATGTTTTGCCGACATCGTCAATTTTCCTTGCCAGACTTAGCATCAAACTAGAACGTCTATGAGGTGAATTTCTTCCCTCATATCATACAATATTCACCTATCCTATATCCTCATCTCGCTCACTTCGCTATCACAACTTGCTCATTTTAACATACTTGTTATAACATTATTTACTTAATGGATGAGTAAATAGCAGAACAATAAGATTTGTTTGTAAGTTTTGATATAGTTTCGATGTACACGAGCATCTCGGTAAGCGGGGCCTTACAGGCTTTATTATTAACCTTAGATCAACACTTAGAGATTGTATTTGTAAATGAGATAAACAAGTAATCAATAATGAGACTGATGAGTCGAATAATGGATTGGAAATATTTAATGATAAATTATATGAACAAGCCATAAATAAACTATGGAAGCCTTTTTGTTTTCAGTTTTGGCTAATTGCTAAACGGCTCACTTTGAAATCCGGCCTTGTCTAAAAGCACTCCTAGTTCCGGAACTATTGGTCAGATATATGGATGACTGTTTTGTTATCTGGTTTCATGACAGAGGGGGTCTTTATGACTTCCATAAGTTAATAAATAGATTAGATAGGTCGACTGAATTCACTATAAAGTTAGAAACTGAAAATTACTTACCCTTTTTACATGTGCTAGTTATTACAAATGGAGCAAACTGAGTAGGGATGTGCATAAGATACCCAGAAATGGGGGTTTTCTTTCTAATTTCTTATCGAATCATACTTATGGTGTTAAGGTAAGGGTAATATAATCAATGCTAATAAGAAATTTATGTATAGAGGATGTAAATTAGCAGGATAAGGAGTAAGGAAACAGGGTATTATATAACTCTTTGTTAAGGTTCATAAAGAATCATCCTGCCAGATTTTGAAAAAGATACTCCAATTTCTGATTAAATGTAATGTCAGGGCCATACATAAGCAAAGGCCAAGGTTAAAAAATTTTTTTTCTATTATTGGCATAAGCAATTTAATTTTAGATTCCATTTACTACGATTTGCTGGTCCAGATCTTGATCGTTATTTGGCTACTCTACTTGATCGTCCTTTTTTGGTCGAACTAAATTGACCTAAAAATTTTTTATCAGATAATTGCACGTTATATTAAACTGTATACAGTTATTATTACAACTGTTTTTCTTTTCGCTATTTAAACTCATTTTACTTTATTCTTCTATCAATATTTAAATCAATATTGGATTATAACATTAACTTTTGATAAAATTATGTTTGGGTATTTTTTAGACTTAACTACAACTCATCTATATTTGTATATCCCTCTGACAATTTTGAATTCCAATTTTTTTTATGCTTTCCATTTTCCCAACAGGTATCTCTTGGAGATGCATTCCACATAAGTGATTTGTCTCACTCTTCGATTCAATCCGGAACGAATTCCTCGCCTACTCTACGTCCTTTAAGGCCTGATCATATAACCTTAGGCAAAGCCGATTGCCTGAACTACCTTATAGATTTAGTAATTTCCTATCAATCAGTTGCTGAATATGTGGCCAAATATCGCTTTTTTTCACAGAACACTCATACTTTGAGCAAACAAGTTTCTGATGGCGTCGCTCCCTCTAATCCACAGATTTTTTCATTTCTTGCGTACGTATTTGCATACTTACTGAAAGAAGAGGATACTTCTGAATTAGCCACTACCTTATTAGAAAATCTTGTTCTTGTCTCCTCAGAAGCAACACAAGCTCTTATTATTAACGAATACAAAGCTTCATTGACCAGCATCGCCACAGGCTATTTACACATTCCGGATATGACTTCTACTAGTGCGCACAAAACATTTGCTATCACAAGCCCAGGGCTTTCATCTCTTTACAAGAACGATAGACTTACAGCACACATGAGATTTCTAGATCGACTTCTTTTGCTTCCGGCACCTCTTGTAAGCCGAGTTATCCATCTGATATACAAGCGCAAACTTCCATGTGACATCGCCAAGCTTATTGCTCATGTTGACTGTAACCTAGCCAACTCAAATTCTACTATGATAATGCTTGTTCGGGCACTAGAAAACTTGACTTGGATTGATCGCATTATAACAAAACGCATTAGTGCTATTCATCAAAGTCAGAACGTTAATCCAATGCTCCCAGATGGGATTAGACCTGGTCTGCGTAGGCGCGACAGGCCATTGCTTACTTCCAGAGGTGCTCCTCATTTGAACAATGCAATTTTCATAAGCCATGATTTAAATGCTGAATCTAACTCCAGGAGAGATGCACATCTTCAGCCAGCTCAGAGTTCTCTCGACCACGAAGAGGAGACTGATTCGGAGTCTGAAACTGAATATGACTGCTGTGGGGAAAATAATGGGGCCATTGCTGAAAATATGGAGGCCAGCGGAGCACCTACAATTCTTACTTCAGATCAAGTAATGAGCCAAATCGATCCTAGAGACTCTCGGATTAATATTTCTCTAGGCAGCGTCCTTCTCACCCAGGCGACTGTCGCTGGCTTAGCTATGCTTCCAATTGAGCCAAATAGTCTTCGTAGATCACAGGGTTTGCGCAGCAGCTTTACTCATAGACGCCATGATGGGTCATCCAACACCTGGCGTACTCTCGATCCAAACTCTAGTGTTACTGTCCACTGTAGCACTGATAATGTCGAAAATACTGTCAGAGATGCCATAGGTAGTCATCTCGAAGAAGATGGAGGGGACGATGACGATGAAGATGAGGGAGATGGTGATGATGACGACGATGAGGATGATGGAGATGAGGATGATGACGACGATGACGACGATGATGATGAAGGAGATGTTGGGGCAGGAGATGATCTCGATAATGAGGCAGTTCCCATCGCAGGAAGCGCTGTTTTGTTTAGAGGTGAAGATGAAGGCAGTGCTGGCCAAGGCGGGGATGCGGAAAATAGCCAGGATGAGGATGAAGATGATACTGCAGGAAATAACATTAGAGAACTTGAGTGCAATTTGGCCGGGGATAATGTGACCAGTCCAATAGAAAGCATTGCTAATGATGAAGGTTCGATTTTATCTATTTGTTTACTTGTTTTTATTGCTTGAAATGTATAAACGATCTGGTGTTACGTCTAACTAGTTAGAATCTTAGATTAAATAAAGCGAAACTTTGAATTATTTTAATGCTTTCGCCAAGGATGTATTTCTACGATTGCTTTCTTATTCGTAAACAACTAAAGTTTTGCTCAAATTAGCTTGTAAAGATACATATGTCTTAGTCTTCGAGTAAAGATTTAAGCTTATATACATAAGATGTATTCATCCTATTTCGTTTAAGGTGACTAAGGTCTCGTAGTCGAATTTTCTCACATTGAAATGTGTAGAGCTGATGTCTTCATTGAATTTCACTCATCCTTGCTTTCCACAAAGGTGTTTTCATTCAGGTATACTAGTTTCGAACTCGCCTATATCTTATCAACACCCCCAGCAGAAGTTGAACCATGGCAATGTAGAGTAGTGAGAAAGCCAGCGTGGGGGTGTGGAGAGTTCTCATTAAATCCGCTCAGAAGGGAACGCCATACCACATTTAAGCAAGTAAGAAATGGTGACAGTGAAGGGGTGATACAAGGATATATGATTGGTGATTAACCCAGGATAGAAAGAGAGATACTACGATTGTTTACAGACAATTAGTTAAAGTATCAGCCTTGTCTTTTTGACGAGTTGTAGTGTGATGCTAAGACTGGCAATGCGGACGATGCTGGGAATGTACCACGTCCACGGTCCGACTGGAAATTATCATGCATACTATGGATTCCGGACTAGGTGCGTTCCTCTAGGTCTTCTTACCAATATAACTGAGGGAGGATTACCACTGAATGAAGGCTGTTGAATTGTGCGCTGATGTTATCGGCTCACCGTCATGCGACCCCGATGAACCCATGCAATGCTTTCGTCTATTATGTAGCAGACATCGTCAGTTCGAGAAAACATCATTTACGAAAAAATTAATCGCCCGAAGCTGAAGGAGCATTTCTTCTGGGCTGTGACTGTAAATTTGTGCGAATAAGTTCTCGGCTCACCGCCATTCTGCCCCGATGAATTTTTTCCGTGCCTCTGTGCGTCATGTGGCGGGTCTCATCAGAGCAGCATACCATGTTCTACGATAATTTATCATAAATATGTAGTTGAGAAAGTTGGCCGGCTGCTAACCTACCTGCTTCGTATAGTCTAATTTGATCCACTTAATGAGGCGTCGCACTATTTGGTTGGATATCCTATGATTTTCCTAAATATTTGTTGGAAAGTTAGGGGTGTGTGACTGGCATGGGAAGTGGCTGCAGATTAAGTTTTAAACGGATACAATTGTGACCGAGCACTGCATCTCCCCTAAAGCACTTATGTTTTTGATCCTGAACTATTGCTCCATATAATTGACTTCCTTTGTACGCGTGCTTTGTGAATGAATTGCGTGAGATTTGTGTGTCAAAACCAGATTTGAGCCTAATCGAGCCACCTCTTGCTTGGCAGTACTTCTTGTTCACCCTCCTCTCTTATCCTACCCAACAGCTACAATTTATTTACGTTTAATTTCTTACATTCATTCCTTTTATAATGAATATTGGCTGTTTTTTATTTATATACCTTCCCTAATTTTTTCTTACTGGTATATTCCCCATATCCAGCTAATCGTTTTGTATTAGACCAGCCTATCTGGTGCCCTCTACGAGCCTTTTTTTTTACCCACAAATCCTTGCAGACTGTTTTGTCTAATGTTTAGGCCTGCAAGTCTCTCCCACATAAGCGCTATCTTATAAATACAAAATTTTTTAACCACTATTTGGTGAGAGTCAGAATATTCCCGAAAAGAAGGCATTGCCGAGGAAAATTTGGTTTTACTTTATAAATAGTCCTTATTTTTCACCTTATTAATTCACCTATCTTCTTCGAAAGATCGCACGGTGGCAGTATGAGGACTCCGGTAGAGTGGTATATCTTTTCATCTAGTCCTAAATACGTATTTCCCTTCATCCTATTTGACAATATTCTAAAATAATTGTCACAACCCCTGTGGATGAATGCGCTCAACGACAATTCTCCTTATCGTCTTAATTCCTGGTCCCAATGAATAAGATCTGCGAAACTCAGACTCTTTATCATTGACTTCATAACTCCTACTTTAATCCCATTAATGTGGGTGGAAAATAAATTCAAAATGGAACCTGTGTTTGTGTTTTTCATATTCATATCCCTACCTAATCTGGTTCCCTCTTTATTAACGAGGACATCTATAAAAGTTAAATCATTTTTCTTTTCTATCTTGATGATGAATTTCGTCTTTCCTTATATCCTGTTTATTAAACCAAGGAGATTGTCCAATTTTTCTTGTACATGCTACCGAACTGCATAATAGTCGTCGGTATAGCGAACTAATAATCCAGGGACTTAAAATGCCTTTTGAATTAGGCATTCCTCAAATTTATCCATGTAATTATTTACTGGAATTGGTGACAAACACGATTCCACAGCTAAACTTCG